TGTGTGTGTGTGTGTGTGTGTGTGTGTGTGTGTGTGTGTGTGTGTGTTTAGAGCCTGGGTAGGATAAGGAAGGGGCGGTGGCAACCCAGGCACTGTGGCTACCAGTGTGATGGGCAGGACTGAAGCTTCCTGGACATGCCAACCTCACTGTGACAACAGGCAAGGCCGGCTTCCCAGGGATGCTGTGCTCATCAGGTGAAATGTCATTTTTCTTTGTAGCCGAACAAAATTCTGTAGTGTGTACATGCCACTGCTCTATTTCCTAATAAGTGAACATAACTGACAAGATTGCCAATATAATGTCTATTTTCTTTTGTTTACAAAATGGGCAATGCTTTTTTTAACATCTTTTTTTTCTGAATTATATCTGAACAAGATTTGTTATAATCTTCCTACATCATTAAAATCATTAAAATAATTTGAGGTTGAGTGTAAATATGTTGTTACAGGGAGCAGTGACATTCAAAGATGTGGCCATTGACTTCACCCCGGAAGAATGGAAGCAGCTGGATCCTACCCAGAGGAACCTGTATCGGAATGTGATGCTCGAAAATTACAACAACTTAATCACTGTGGGTAAGACAATGGGCTTCTTAAAAAGATAAAGAGACGCCTTTGTTCATGTTCCTGTCTGTGCTGCAGCTTTCAAAACAGACTCTTTGGGGTGTTTCAGGGCACAACACTCCAGAAGTTAGAACACCTGGCTTTGCCAGGCCCATCCCAAGTCCCTGGGTTGTTTTTGTTCCTGGTATGTGTACCCAAATCTGTGTCATTTCCTTCTGACAGGCTCCCCACTCAGCAAACCTGATGTGATTTTCAAGCTGGAGCAAGAGGAAGAGCCATGCATAGTGGAGAGAGAAGTGTTGAAGAGACACTGTCCAGGTTAGTGGAGGAAAGAGACAGGTGAAGAGAGAGGGCCAGTCGGTGGCCAGTCTGAGGCGTTTGCAGGCTATAGTCACGAAGCGTGTAGCGTGTGCAGTAGCAATTAAGTGTGAACTCTTGGAGACTAAGATGTCATTTCTCTTAAAAAATGTTAAAGATTATTTATTTATTTATTATGCATGCAATGCACACCTGCAGGCACCAGATCTCACTATAGATGGCTGTGGGCCACCCTGTGGTGCTGGGACTTGAACTCAGGACCCCTGGAAGAGCTGTCTCTCCAGCCCCCTCTTTAGAAAATTTTTAATTACATGTTTTACGTGTGTGTGTGGAAGTTAAAGGACAAGTTGTACAATTGAACTCGGGTCCTCAGGCTTGGTGGCAAATGCATTTACCTGCTGAGCCATTTCATCAGCCCAAGGTGTTATTTTTCAGTACTATTAATTTGTGTGTGTGTGTGTCTTTGAGCTTCTGAGGGTTTGGTTTATTTTGTTTTTGAGTTTTAGAGTTTTTGCTTGTGTGTGTGATGTGCACTGGAGGCCAGAGGCCAACCATATTTTGAGGTACTGGAGTTAGGCTTGTAGTGTATCTTTTGGCAGCACACAAATTCATGCCATCTTCTTTTTGGTTATTGTTAGTGTTGAACTAAGACAGGGTCTCATATAGCCCAGGGCAGCCTTGAACTTGCCCTGTAGCTGAGACTCACCTTGAATTCCCAATCCTTCTGCCTCCATCCCCCAAGGGATGAAGTTATAGGCAAAGTCTATATAACACATAGCCATTGTGTGACTATTTTTGAGTGTTTGGATATTTATTACTAATTTTTCCTTAGATTTTAAAAATGTTTTTTACTTTATAAACATAATTTTCTTTTATTACATTTCCTAAATAGTATATGTACACATATATGAAGGTTATTATAATTAATATTACTTCTGTTGCATAAAGCAAAGGTAACTGAATTCTAAATATCGGTTTGTACTCCTATTTCCTTTCCTGGAATTTCCTTCTCAAAACTGAGGAGATAAGAGATGTGTGAAGGCTGGAGAGACGGCCCGGCAGTTGGGAACACTTTCAGGCCCCGGGCTGGATTGCCAGCACCCACATGGCGGCTCACGGCTCTCTGTGACCGCAGTTCGTGGGGCACGAACAGCACCGGGCGTGCATACGGTGCGCTGAAATGCGCTCAGGCCAAATGCCATGTGCATCACGTGAAGACACGTCTAAAGTTAAAACAGGAGGGTGCTTTTGCAATTTGTTTAGTTGTGGGAGCGTTTTTGAAATATACTTGTTATTTCAATATTGGAAAAGAAATCACCAGTGATATTTATTTGCTGTCTATTTTAGGAGAAACTTGGGAAGTTAATGATCACCAGGAAGCCCAGGACAGTCTCTTGAGTCAAGTTTTCAAGGAAACAGTGACTGACGACGCCATTGACTGTTCTAAGCAACTTACAAGTACATTTTCTCCAGACTCAGAGTCCGTTCCCTCCAGTCTCTTTGAGTGTGACTCTTTCGGAAAGCATTTGGAACATGGTTTTGATGACCATAATAATAATGTGGAATTCCCCATGAGAGAGGAGCATCTTGAATATGATGATGATATGCAATGTCCCCACTTCATAGTGACCCCCTTTAAGTGTAACCACTGTGGGGAAGGCTTTCGTCAGACCCTGGACCTGATTAGACACCTCAGAGTCCACACTGGAGGGAAACTCTATGAATGCCACCAGTGTGGCAAAGGCTTCAGCCACAAAGAAAAGCTTATCAATCACCATAAACTGCACAGTAGGGAACAGTGTTACGAGTGCAGTGAGTGTGGGAAAACTTTCATTAAAATGTCGAATCTCATCAGACATCAAAGAATTCATACTGGAGAGAAACCATATGTATGCATGGAATGTGGGAAATCCTTTAGCCAGAAATCTAATCTCATTGATCACGAAAAAATTCATACTGGTGAGAAGCCTTATAGATGCAGTGAATGTGGAAAGTCCTTCAGTCAGAAACAAAGCCTCATTGCACATCAGAAAGTGCACACCGGGGAAAAACCTTACGCATGTAATGAGTGTGGAAAAGCCTTCCCTCGAATTGCTTCCCTTGCTCTTCATATGAGGAGTCATACAGGAGAGAAACCTTATAAGTGTGATAAATGTGGGAAAGCCTTTTCTCAGTTTTCCATGCTAATTATCCACGTGAGAATCCATACAGGTGAGAAACCCTACGAATGCAATGAGTGTGGAAAAGCCTTCTCTCAGAGCTCGGCTCTCACTGTGCATATTAGAAGTCACACAGGTGAAAAACCCTACGAATGCAAGGAATGCAGGAAATCCTTCAGCCATAAGAAAAACTTCATTACCCACCAGAAAATTCACACTAGAGAGAAACCTTATGGATGTAATGAATGTGGGAAAGCTTTTATTCAGATGTCGAATCTTGTTAGGCACCAGAGAATTCACACCGGAGAAAAACCATATATGTGTAAGGAGTGTGGCAAAGCCTTCAGCCAAAAGTCAAATCTGATTGCTCATGAAAAAATTCACTCTGGAGAGAAACCCTATGAATGTAATGAGTGTGGGAAAGCCTTCAGCCAGAAGCAAAACTTTATCACACATCAAAAAGTTCATACTGGGGAGAAACCCTATGATTGTAATAAATGCGGGAAGGCCTTTTCTCAGATTGCGTCCCTTACTCTTCACCTGAGAAGCCACACAGGGGAGAAGCCTTATGAATGTGATAAGTGTGGGAAAGCCTTCTCCCAGTGCTCACTACTTAATTTACATATGAGGAGTCACACCGGGGAGAAGCCCTACGTTTGCAATGAATGTGGAAAAGCCTTTTCTCAGAGAACTTCCCTTATTGTGCACATGAGAGGCCACACTGGTGAGAAGCCCTACGAGTGTAACAAGTGTGGAAAAGCCTTCTCCCAGAGCTCATCCCTGACTATCCACATACGAGGCCACACAGGCGAGAAGCCCTTCGACTGCAGCAAGTGCGGGAAAGCCTTCTCTCAGATCTCCTCTCTCACTCTCCACATGCGGAAACACACGGGGGAGAAGCCCTACGTCTGCATTGAGTGCGGCAAGGCCTTCAGCCAAAAGTCACACCTTGTCAGACACCAGAGAATCCATATGCAGTAGAGACTCCGAGCACGCCGTGAGGGGGGGCTGCCTTTGGCGGAACGACTGCCTCAGAGCACGCTGCATGTTGGGTTCTGGAGCAGAAGACTGACTACGGGAAAGCTCGTGAAGAATCCACGGGGCTGTTAGAGAATCCTGACTGAGCAACCATTGTGTGGGAAAACGAGAAACCTTGGACACCAGTTGACATGTGACTAGTGTCTCATTCACATCGAAAGAAGACACCTGCAGCGTATCACCATACTGAACTCCTTCCAATGAATTAAGCAAGATAAGAGGATCGAAAAAAGCGAAAACAATAACCTTTTAAAGGCAAGCTGAGACTAAAATGGAGCTTTTGTATGTTAGTGTGTCAATAAGAAACTAAGATAATCCGGTAACATCCACAAAGTTACAGAACTTGCTGATGATCACAAAAGAACACCTGAAAAAATCAAGTTCGGAAATTATACAAGTATTCTTCCAATTTTCTATCTTTGCTCTACTTCCACTCAAACTTTAGAGATCACTTGTAAAGAAGTTCCTGGACTGATTGCAGAGTAGCGTGGCAAGGTGAAGGACCACAGATAGCAAACAAACCAACAAAACAAGTAGGGAAGATGCTGGCTCCTGGACATCATTACATCATTTAAAGTTTTTCTCATTTCAGTCCTTTTGAGTGAATGAAGAAGCCTTTGGAAACAGATTGAGGGTTAACAGAAGTCCAAGAGCTGGCAGTTCTGTGGTTGGTAGTGCTGCTGACGTCATCGGAGTAAGTCTGGCCTGTTCAAGATACGGAAGAATCATATGATCCAAGTGTATTATTTCTCAGCCATACTTACCCATCAGGCTGCTGGGATGGCCCAGCTGAGAGGGTGCTTGCTGACAAGCCTGACAGCTGACTTTGATCTCCAGAATTCATGTGGTGGAAAGAGAACTGACTGCCATAGTTGCCCTCTGACCTCCAATGGCACGCCATTGCATGCATCTGCACACGCGCGCACACACACATATACACACACACACACACACACACACACGCTCCAAATAGAAAAGGTAAAATCCTAAAACTGATGGAAATAAGGTAGACTATGTTGCTTTAGCATAAGACAATTAAACCCACAAACATGGAATAGTTTATCTTTTAGTGTACTGGATTCAGATGTACCTGTGTGTGTGTACAAAGAGATATCTATAGAAATATTCCAGGAATCATGGTTTGTTTTGCTCTAAATTGTATGTATCATTATCATCAACACAGTGAGATCAATATGTTTATTTCTATGATAGGACACTTGCTGTATCTAAAATATACAAAATTCACATGTACTTACATGGATAGTTCACGATATTTTGAGAGGAAAACCCAAAATACACAATGAAACATGGTATAGTATTTGTAACTTAATAAAACAGTTCAAAGAACAGTACTGGATGTTGCTCATGGGTCGACTTATGATATTATTTGCCTTTGAGAATGTGGAAGCTTTCATGGGCATTGTTACATTGACCTGTAATACTTCTTTAATAAAAGAGTGAAAGCAAATATTACAGTGCTCACAGTCTGCTCATCAGAACCAGCTCTGAGATCTTAAAGGCCCTCGTCTTCAGTTGTACATTTACAAAAGTGAGTCAAGTGCGTAAGGGACACGTGGCTTACAGAATCAATTTTAAAATAGCATTTATGCACTATTTTATATCTAAGCCTCTTTACACAAACAAGCCTGATTTAAGATGTTTTGTTTACTGTGGTTGTGTCTGGGATGTTTCCCCAAAGACTCATGTGTTGAGAACTTGTTCCCCCAAACAAGAGTGTTCAGAGGTGATTTGGTCATGAGGGTTCTGACATCGTCAAAGGTTTAATCTATCAGGGGATTCCTGTGGGTCTCCTCTTCCCTGGGGGCCGTTGGCCATCAGCTCATGAGGGCATGGGGAGCAGAACTGGGGTGCAGGGCTCGGAAGGCCTGCAAGTGTGAAGGAAAATGACTTCTGGAAACCAGTTCAGTAAGAGAGTTCAACTTCATTCCTTGGGGAGTGGGGGCAGTCCTCCTGGGATGGGGGTACAGAACTGGGGGGAACTAGGGATTCCAAGGATGCTTGATTTGCAATCGGCAGCATGCTCCTGTCACATGGACAGGGCACAGAACCTGATTATCCTCCAGAGAGGAGAGGCAGCGGGGACTGCGGCAAAGGCCTAGGAGACGTGGTGAGAGGCACCCATATCTACAGACATGGGATGAGGTCAGGCAGAGTAGGAGGCCCTGCTGGGGAGGAGCCCTCCAGCTAGCGCCCAGCTCAAACGGCAGGGTCCTCCCCCAGATTCCTGGCCGATTCTGGAAGGTGGCGGCTGCTGTAGGAGGTGGGGCACCTGAGGCATGCCTTCAAAAGGGGAATCATTTTTTCCTCGATTCAGTTGACTTTTCTTAGACATTCTTGTCAACGGTACCAGGAATGTGAAGGCGAGGTACCGAGGGGCATGTGTGGGATCAGCAGTTAATCACTTAGCAAACTTCTCTCCTCTCCGGGGCCGGCACTCACATACACACACATGCATGTACACACAGTGAATGAGGCAGGGCCCCAGCCACTTCATTTCTCTCCCACAGACTATATCCCCCAGTGTTGTAAGCGGTGTTAATATTTACTATTGGTTTATCTTCTTGTAACGCTGCTGTTAATCCTCAGCGGCTGTATAACCAAATCACCACACAGAGACTGGGTTTTTAGTTAACCTAGAACACAATGCTGGGCAATATTTACTGCCTCCTAAACCTCCAAGCTCTCAGTTTCCAAACATTTAGATTTCCCACATTTTACTTGCTTTTTGTGAAATCTTAGGTCTGGTTCATCCTCCACATCCTCCAGGATCTCTCCTCCAGCTCTGCTCTCCTCACTCTCCTCTCGCCCCTTCTCTCCCACTCATTTCCTGCCTTCTGGCTCCTCCCTGCTCAACATTGTGTCTAATTGCTTTATTTTGTCCTGTTTACACAAGGGTTGAGACAGGATGCTTAGAATGAGTATCACAATGCAATATCCGGATTGAAACCAGAGAGTTGGGGTGGGGTGGGGGAGAAATCAGTATTTAAATGAACAAGGGTAAGGTGTATACATTTAAAAAAAAAACAAAACATTATACCAACACCCCAGCAAATAGTTCAAGTAGTATAAAAATTACAGTGCAGATGCATTCTGTTTTTCTTTAAGTGAATGATTACAGAGGGCATAAATATTTTACATATTACAGGTGAAAAACAAATTACTTCTAAGAACCCACATATATTCACGTCTAAGAAACTTGTTATAGATTAACAAAGTGTAAGCCAGCAAGGTATTTTTTTCAGACAGTTTCTCTTACTGGCAGGCTACAATTTGCAGTTACAAAGAAAGGAGCAGTCATTTTATTATTTATCTTAAAAAATAGTCTTATAAAAAATCTTAAGAGAACCACAAATTTAAACTTACATATACATACCAAAACAACCAGCCATTGCTACTTTAAATCCTCAGAGTACACACCTACTCACCAGCAAACGTTTTTTTTATTAAATCATAGCAGAATGCCAAGGGCAAAGATGGGTACAAGAACTTAATCATCACCTTGATCAACAGCTTGAGCAAGAAGGGCGGATCAGCTAGCGCTAGTTGGTTTGCCGTTGTTCTGGTTCCCTGGCCTCAAAAAGCCCTCGCTCAACTGTCGAGAGAGGACCTTTCTGAATTTTAAATTGTTCCCTGAGATTATGTCAAAGCCACTCACAAAACATCTTCACCTAACTTCACTAACAGTCTATCTCTCCAAATTCTTTCTACGGGTTGGAGTAGTAATTAACAGCCTACATCTCTAGGTTCTAAGGGTAGTGGCTGAATTATTAAGCTGTCCAGCAGCAATGCTTGGAAAAGATCCATCACTAGTAAGTGCCAATCAGCTACCCAGGGAGGGGCTGGGAGTCTCAGTTTTCCTGCAGCCCGTACAGTATGCGGGAAGGGGTGGTGGCCAAGGGCAACGAGCGGAGCAAAACTCTGTAACAGCGAGAAGTCCTCAGGACAGAGTCCTCAGGGCTCTGCCTCTCCAAGGAACATCCATCACGGCTCTACTAACCGGCCGGCCATTTTCCATGAGTTCTAAAGCTGTTTGCTGTTCCTTTTGCAGGCCCCCAGCACAGGAAGCTGGCTAACTTGTCAGAACATGAGTTGGGATAATGAGAATCAACAGAATAAAACACTTGAGGCCAGTTTTAAAATTTTGAAGTATTTATCTTCAACTTAATTCTTTCCCTAGTTGAAAGTAACAGAAAAACAAAAGGCATTATTTGTTGAAATAATTGACTCTCAAGTTTAACAAAAAAAGGTCCAATTGCATCTAGGTTTAGTTTGGAGAGTAGGAAAGGAACAGTGTGTTCCAAACGTGTTAACAATCCTGTCAAGCCAAGGGCCGGTACCAGCATCAGGGCAGGAGCAAAGCTCAGCGATCTCAGCAAAGCTTTCTGAGTGTCTAGACAGCTTGGTTTTTAAATATTCTTTTGTTGGTGGTTTGGTGGGTGGCGTTGAAACATCTCTGTAGCCCAGGTTGGCCTCAAACTTATGGCAATTCTATTGCCCCTACCTTCTGAGTCTGCAGGTATGTGCCATGGTATCCAGTGGTTTCTGATTCTTAAATAGAAAGGTTTATCTTGGAGATATTAATGTGTGCCAGGGAAAGGCCTAGTGGGTGTAAAAAGCTCGCTCCTTGCTGTTGGAGTCCTGTGAAATGAAGTTTTGGTTCCTTGTATGTTACGTAAGTATGCTTTTGTTTTGATCCCAAGGAGATGCAAATTAATGCAGGGGATGGGATAGAATTGCTCAGCTATTACTATTCCCCTACCTCAAGGACAAAGCCGCTCAAGGACAAAGCCGCTCTGGTACAAAGAACAGGTCCTTTGGGAGCACTGGAAAATGTGTGTTCTAGCAAGCAGTGGGTAATAATCAGAGAATCAAATTAATGGTACAAATGAATGGTGCTGAAATAGAAAGCTTGGTAGATATGGGAGCTGACATCAGTCTTTTCCCAAAAGTCTTGGAATCCAGAATGGCCGCTTCAGAAGGTTTATGTACAGTTCATAAGAATTGGTAAATTATCTCAAATAAGACATTGCACAATGGCTTAAATGTATGGAACCAGAAAGACGAACGGGGAAGTGAAACCTTATGTGGCTGACATACACTTACATTTATGATCTTTTACAACAATAGAGCACTTAAATTAATTTCCCTGAAGTCCCAGATACAGCCAATGATGAAACTAGAAGTGAAATGGTAGATGCTCCTGGGGGAGGTACTGATACCTTTAATCAAGAAAAATCACAAGCTGTGCCCACTGTCCAAAAACAGAACATGACAAGGGATTGGCTTTCCAAATTTATAAGAGGAGGAGCCACTACTGAAACAGCCCTACCCCTAAAATGGACAGCAAGCAGACCTGTGCGGCTAGGTTAGTGGCCCTTCACTAAGGAAAAACTGCACGCACTTGAACAACTGGAGTAAGAGCAGCTGGAGGCTGAACATCTAGAAAAGTCTACCAGCCTGTTTTTGTTGTAAAAAAAAAAAATCAGGAAAATGGAGGATGACACGGATTTAAGAGCAGTGAATAGAGTCATTCAGCCAGTGGGTCCTTCACAGCTTGGGATTCCTTTATCTTCTTTGTTACCCAGGTCATGGCCTGTGACAGGGATTGATCTAAAAGATTGCTTTTTCACAGTTCCCTTGCACGAGCAGGATAGGGAGAGGTTTGCTATCTCAATACCTACTTTTAATAATATTGGTCCAATAAAGAGATCCCACTGGTGGCTGCTTCCACAGGGAATGTGAAATAGTCCAACTTTTTGTCGATATTTTGTACACTTACATATGATACACTGTGTATCTTGTACTGGGTTTGGCCAAGGACTAAACAGCCAGTGCGTGTTAGATCATTATTTTCTTAGGATAGTAGGTAACTATAATTGTTATGGCTAAACAAAGAGTCAAGAAAAGTGGTCTCTGCATCCACAGCACCCCGGAAGCTGGAGGAGGCCTGGGGTACAGCAAGAATCTGTTCCAAAAACCCAACTCCAGGCCTGGACGGAGGGTGTAGCTCCGTGGTAGAACACTTTCCTAGCACACGCAAGGTTTTGGTTCCAGCACCCAGAACTGCCAAAAAATAAACTTACAACACATCCATAGAACAAAAGATACTGGAGTGCCAAGTCCCACTGTAATCTTTTCCAATGGTGAAGCCTGGACTTCAACGTTTTTTTAAATTTCCACAGGTAATCCTGGTTTAATGTTTCTGTTAGCAAAAGCCAGGCACTTAAGGAAATATATATATTTATTGTGTGTATGAGTGCTCTATCTGCATGTCCACCTGCAGGCCAGGAGAGGGCGCCAGATCTCATTATAGATGGTTGTGAGCCACCATGTGGGTGCTGGGATTTGAACTCGGGACCTCTGGATGAGCAGGCAGTGCTCTTAACCACTGAACCATCTCTCCAGCCACCAAAAAAAAAAAAAAAAAAAAAAAAAAAAAAGAAGTTTTTAATAGTTCTGTGTACTTGCTGATATAAGGTGTGTGATTGTGACTGTCACTAAACTATGACATCTACTTATGGGTAAAAAAGAAAGAAAGCAAAGTGGCCAGTAGGAGGGGTTGGCAAGGCAGGGTAATGTGTGTGTGAATATGATTACACCACACTGTATACATAATGAAAGCGCCCCCAAATTATTAACCATGTGCCCAAAATGTTTGATGTCTGTGTACACATATGTCCATGGGCTATGGCATACATGTAGAGGTCAGAGGACAAGCAGGGTGTGGTGATGCCCAGCACTCAGGAAGCAAAGGCAGGAGGATCTCTGTGAGCTCAAGGCCAGCCTGGTCTACAGAGCAAGCTCCAGGACAGCCAGGTTTACACAAAGAAACCCTGTCTCAAAAAAACAACAGAGAGAGAAATCTCTTGTGCTGCTTAACTGGCATGAAGCCTGACCTTGGCCACTTGTTTAATAAGATCCTTAGGTCATTTCCTACCTTCCGTTTTACTTGCACTCATCTCTAACTCCATAAATCATTCATCCAAGAGGACATCTATTTAGAAGATTGCTTTCATCCGTCACACACATTTGATCCCATTTGATTAATATCCTTTTTAGGATATTAATTTTTTAGCATATTTTCTTTTTGTTGTTGTTGTTGTTGTGTGGTTTTGTTTTATTTTGTTTTCGAGATAGGGTTTCTCTGTGTAGCCCTGGCTGTTCTGGAATCACTTTGTAGACCAGGCCAGCCTCAAACTCGTAGAGATCTGCCTGCCTCTGCCTCCTGAGTGCTGGGATTAAAGGTGTGTGCCACCAAGGCCAGCTAGGGTATTAAATTTTTAAAGTCGTGTTTTTACATTGATTCGTAGCGTGTGTGTGTGTGGGTGAATGGGTAGGTTCCATGATGCCAGTGTGGAAGTACCGAGACAATTGGTGGCATTTACCCACTGAGGCGCGCCATCTCACCAGGCCACATATCAAATATTGTGTAAGATTGTCACATGAACAAAAGTAGAGAGAGTACCTCTGGGACATAACTTTCCCTGTGCTCTCAAAGCCGTGAAAGACGAGGTCAGACTTCTCACAGCATCACCTTCCCTGGGAATAGAACTGTCAGAGCCTAACAGTCACTCCTCAGGCTCTCCTCCTTCAGGCACACACAAGCACGAACAGGCATGCCCACCCACAGTGACACAGGTGACGCTGTCACAGTTGGGGCCTCTTACGTAGTTACACACAGGAACACAAAGCCACACTCCCTCATACACACAACGCCTCGTGATGTCCTTGGGGTCCCCACAGGGTCCCCCAGGCTCCATCTGCAGCCTAACTCCCCAGCACACCACGCAGGTGATGGAAAGAGGCTGTGACCCGGGCCCGTGATGTCACCGCGACATCACTGCCCAGCAAGCCAAAGCCTCCCTCTCTGGGCTTCCCAGCCAGTGCCCACAAGAACTACCAGCCCCACAGTGCTTTGCGGCGTAACCCTTTCCACTTGGTGCTTGTGCGACGGTGAGAGTGCACAGGGGGAGGGGGGAATGTAGGTCGCCCAGTGCGGTGGTTTGCATCAGGCTGTTGGCCTCTGTCAGGTTGCTGAGCTTCGGAATTTAAAATCACATCCTCTGAGGTGGGGTGCTGTGTGACAGCTTTGAGTGTGTCACGCCAAACTTCGGGTGTGCAGAGTGACTGTTTCTCCCTGGGTGTTACCGTCTTGTTAGTGCCTGGTGGGGCGCACATGCGTGCACACACAAACACACACACAGTGCTTGTACGTTTTCTTCTTAGGGGAGTGAGTAAGGAAAACTATTATTTCTTCCTGCTGTTTTGACAGCTGTGATTTCAACTATCCACCAAAACTTTCCAGAATTTCAGACTGATATTATTTGTACAACATTAAAAGTTAAAGCTGAGGCTGGGTGCAGCGGCCCACATTTCAGCCCTTGAACCTAGGAGGCAGAGGCGGGAGGATCTGCTTTCCAGGTCAGCCTGGTCTCCACAGTGAGCTCCAGTCCAGCCAGAGCTACAGTGTGCCACCTTTCTGTCCACATAGACTGTCCACACACACCCTTTTCTACTTGTACTTTAATAAGCGGTAGATGAAGGGCCTTATAGCACATCATGAATCCTCCAGTTTTGATAGCACAGAGTGGTTAAAAGTAATTTCCGGACATTGGGAGGAGTGGGTTAGCAGTGAGGGGCTGGACATGGCTCTGAGACAGAGTGCTCGCCCTGCACCCACCCCAACACACACTCTTTCCACAAATCAGGAAGAAAATGATGAAGCTTAGTATGCTAATGACAACAGAGAAACCTTTTTTATTAAATCCATACTGGGTGCTAGGAATAGATCTAAGTTCTTCATATTTATGAATTCATTGAGTTCTCATAGCAAACCAATGCATACACTTGACTGCATATGTAAAATAAGAAATACACAACTACTTATAACATATACAAAAAAATCTGGAAAAATAACACTTTCCTAAATGTACTTGCCTTTCTGGCATGACACTAGGATTAGGGTTAATGAAAAAGAACTAAATAGCGTACAAGGAGAAAAGGTGAATACATTCATCATTAAAAGAAATGTTTCTGATTTTAAGAGAAACAAAACATCAAACATCCAAACCTAAGTTTGGGGTCATAATGCAAAAATTTAGAAGCAACTGTAACATGAATAATAGTCACTTAAAAGATATTAAGTCATTAAAAGTAGAACCTGTATTTGCTGGAAAGCAACTGTTACAATGACTTTTTTAGCATGATGAAGGCAGGTGGAGGAAGAACGCAAACACCATGACCCCACACCTGCAGAGAGCAAAGTCCAGGAGAACTAGCAATTTATAGTCCTCCGTGTAATCAACATAATCTCAGTTCGTTCTGATAACTGAGCTTTACATTGTTAAAGTAACTTTTATTTGCCTGATTTAATTGTCACCTCTGAAGCTTACTGCCTCCCTCTGCTAACCTAGGCCTAGCCCTGGAAGCTTCTACCCTCGCTACAATCTACTCTAGGCTGAGAATTCTTTCAGCCTCTGAGCTGTACTGCTAAGTGAGCTCACCCCTTCCTAGCTCTTCCTGAACTCTGGCTGGTTCAACTCAGCTGTTCTGGCTCAAACTCCTCTCCAAGCTGATTCCACCTGGCTTCTCTCTTGGTTTCAAACCAACTCCCGCAATCTGCTCTAGTCTTCAGGCTCCTTTTCCTTCTCTGGCTCGTTCTGTCTTCACCTGTGCCTCGCTTGTTCCCTCTTCCACCTGCCTCTGTAGAACTCTCCCTGTAAAACTACCTTGAATTCCACGAACTGAGCTGCCAGCTCCACTGGCGCCACCTCTCCACTCGCCTCCTGTCTGAAGAACTGACTGAACTGAACTCAGCGATCCGCCTGCCTCTGTCTCCCAAGAGCCGGGATTAAAGGCGTGTGCCACCATGCCTGAACCTTAGCCTTTCTTTACCTGAAACTTGCTCTATACCAGGCTGGCCTCTGGCCTCTTGGATTAAAGGCATGTCTGCATTTCAAACAGATCACACAAATCTAGAAGATCTTCGGATGTGATTTCTTGCCAGAGCAGCCATGTTCTGAATGAAAATTCCTCTCTCTTAGATTTCCAAATTTTCTCATTTTTTTCACTTATAATAAAAATAAAAATAAGCTCATGAAACACAGTGATACTGACATTGCCTCAAATACAACATTGGAATTCGACAAGGAATTTAAAATATTAAAAGTTACACAATCAAAACACTATTATTAGTGCAAGCAGTAAGAACACAGTTTAGAAAACAAAAGACAGTCCTAAAAATATAAGCATATATAAACAACAGCATGACAAATCCACAAGCGATGGGGAGAGAAAAAATTATTAAAAAGCAACTAGCATTGGTGTGGGAGAAGAGAATAAACGTAGGCTTGGAACTCATAACCTACAGTTAACTGCACTCAGATGAAGACGTAAATATCTGGTCAAACACTGTCAACCGTGGATTTTTAATACTCATAGGTATGACGTCCCTGCTGGCCAATAAGGTCTGCGCCATTCCTAAATGGCCTCCCACTCTTGTTAGTTGTAGGGCTTGTCCTCACTGTGAATCCTCAGATGTCGGGTGAGGTTTGAGCATTTATTAAAGGCCTTTCCACACTTATTACATTTGTAGGGTTTTTCATCTGAATGGACCCTCTGATGTTGAAAAAGCTGTGAGTTCTGAGTGAAGGCCTTCCCACACTCAAGACATTCAAAGGGCTTCTCCCCCGCATGAATTCTTTGATGTTGCCGAAGTTGTGAGCTCTGGGTGAAGGCCTTCCCGCACTCCTTGCACTCATAGGGCTTCTCCCCGGTGTGGATTCTCTGATGATTCGTAAGTGCTGAGCCGCTGCTGAAGGCCTTCCCGCACTCCTTGCACTCATAGGGCTTCTCCCCGGTGTGGGTCCTCTGGTGCTGAGCCAGCTTCGAGCTCTGAGTAAAGGCTTTGCCACACTCCTTACATTCGTAGGGTTTCTCACCTGTATGCACCCGCACGTGTTGAAAAAGTTGGGAGCTCTTGGTAAAGGCTTTCCCACACACTTTGCACGCGTAAGGCTTTTCACCGGTGTGAATTCGCTGATGGTCAATGAGATTTGAGCAATAGCTAAAGGCCTTCCCACACTCCTTACACTCATAAGGCTTCTTGCCGGTGTGTATTCTCTGATGCTGAGAGAGGTACGAGCTACAGCTGAAGGCCTTCCCACAGTCTTTGCACTCAAAGGGCTTCTCACCGGTGTGAATTTTCAGATGTCGCGTGACATGCGAGCCACAGCTGAAGAACTTCCCACACTCCTTACATTCGTACGACTTCTCACCATGAACCCTTTGATGTTGAATGAACTGTGAGTTCTGAGTAAAGACCTTTCTACATTTCTTGCACTCATAGGGTTTCTCGTCATTATTTATCATGTGATGTAGGGTAAAGAAAGTCTGTTGAACAAATGTGGGCATGTACTCACGCGTGAGTAATTCTTGGCTTACGTGTCCATTTTGAAATTGGCTGCCACACTCCAGAACATCTCTGAAACTGGAGTAAGCGAGGCCGTGCTTGCTAAGTCCCATTAACTCCCTCTGGCACGATTCCATTTCATAAACTTCCTTCTTTAGGGATAGTAACTTGCTTTCGCACATTGACTCCAGAGCTGAAAGGAAAGAAAGCAGCAAATATTCTTTTCCTCTATTTGGAAAAGCTTAAACTTCCATAATGGAATGAAAGAAAACTAAGATGAATATACTGTCTAGTAGGTAAACGATCTCCTAAGGAGATCTGTCTAATATGAAAAACGGACAGAGAGCACAAGGAAATTAGCAAGATACAAACTGGATGCAGAGAGACCACTGTGGAAATAAGTTACCAACAATGATTCTTTGTTTTGTTTTGTAGACAGGGTGTCTTTGTGTTGCCCTGGCTGTCCTGGAACTCCCTCTATAGACCAGGCTAGCCCTGAACTCAGAAATCCACCTGCCTCTGCCTCCCGAATGCTGGGATTAAAGGCGTGTGCCACCAGCGCCTGGCTAACCTAACAATGATCCTTAAATATGGGTGTAAGTCAGAAGAGTCTGGAGAAGTTAGTGTGGAAAAAAAAGCACTGGGCACAAAACATGACAAAATATACAGCTAATTCCCGGATACTTTGTGGTATAAAAAACCCATAGGTTTGGTCTTTTGCTTATTTTGTTTGTTTTGAGACAGGGTCTCATTCTAGCCCTGGCTGGACTTAAACTCAAGATCCCCTGCCTCCCAAGTGCTGGTATTAAAGGTGTGTCCCACGACACACTGTGTAACTCTGGCTGGTTTTGAACTCTGTATTGTTCTGCCTCAGTCTCTCTAGCTACTAGGATTATATGCATACACTGCCACATTGGCCTTTGTCCATATAACTTCAAAAAGCCTTGGGATGCTGTGAATGACAGAGTATTTTGTATTGCTACAGGGACAATTCACGTGAGGCCTTAGGGAGCCTCAGGACTGGTTCTGCAAAGGTGGCCCAGGGGTATGGATGTGGGCTGCTCTTGCACAGGGCCGAGGCTCAGTTCCCAGCACCTATACGGCAGCTCACAACGGCCTGCGACTCTAGTCCCAGAGGGCTTTACTCAGCCTCCTGGCCATGGGCACCGTCCACATCTGTACACAGGCGCACCACACGCACGCAGGCCGGCCATGCATATAAAATAATACATCTTTAAGAGACGGGAGAAATCACCAGAGAGGTGAGCCAGTGCGTTAGAAGGTTGGGGCTGTAGACAGAGGGGAGAAGGTGAAGGCTGACATGCCAGCTATATATCACACCTACATAAAAACGAAAACAAGCTTGATCACAGGGAGAGCCAGCTCCAGCAAGCTGTCCTTCAACCTCCACACTACACTTACTAATTACAACAAATAAATACAATATAAATAAATAAATAAATAAATAAATAAATAAATAAATAAATAAGTAAATGTAGCTAAATTTTTTTTGAAAAACTTAGGTTCTTGGCAGAGGCTTACAAGGTAACATCTGAGAGGCGCAGCCAACCTCCATCACCGGTGAGTTAATCCCTGCTGCCGCTCAATGCTTGGTGGATCTCACTCACCTGAGCACAAGCCTCTTGTCAGCTCTTTGCCGATCATCCAGGGCTCTTTGCCTTGTTCCAACAGAGAGATCACCTGAGGCTTGGGGATGTGAGGTCCTGCTTACGAGAAAAGATAGGGGACATTGTTATGCTGTGGGAGACAGATCCAATCCCTCGATCACCAAGCAAGAGATGCCAGGAGAGGAACAGCCAAAGACGAGGATGACGCTTCCGCCTCAGCCCACCGGAGCTGCCTGGGTCCCAGGCTTCTTTGCAGCCCGGCTGAAAGCACTGGTTTGCAAACAAGGAGCAGGAACTCAGGCACACACTTGGAAAGCAGCTGAGGAAGTCACAGAGGGAGCAGCGGACCCTCCAGAGGTGCCGAGCTGTTGTGCAGATGCTCTTACCCACGGAAAGCAGGTTGCTGTAGTTCTCCAACATCACATCTCTGTACAGGTCCCTCTGAGCAGGGCCGAGGCACTCCCACTCCTCCTGAGAGAAGTCCAGGGACACGTCACTGAACGCCACCGATTTCTGAAACAAGAAACACACGCCCCAGACATGTAACACAAACAATACTTCCCAAACTCTGGGGCTTGTGTTGTCAGGATGAGCAAACGAGCCATTATACTGATGTCACCAGGAACTGGTACCCGTTTTCTCTGTTCTTTCAGAAACAGATGACAGGAGGCCAGGCATGAGGGTGTACAACTATAATCCCAGCACCAGGGCAGGTGAGGCATGGGGACTGTTCCGGAGTTTGAGCTGTTAGTCAGGTTACACAGTGAGTTCAAGACCAGCCTTAGCTATGTCGTGTGCTCAAGTCTGAAAACAGCAGAGCTAGGGAGTTAGCTCACTGGTAAAGCCTGTGCCTATGTAAGGCCCTGCTCAAGCCCAACACCAAAACAGCAAATCACTTCTCATTGATACACAACATTTTTCTGGTGGCCAAATGTTTTGATTTCTGACTATACAACCTCAACAGCTTATACACACTGAGCAGACTTATTAGAAACATCCAGTATCATATTTGTCCCTATTTCTGAGATAAATAAAAGTGATGATTCTTTTAGAAAATCAGCATGACCCACATTTCCTGTTAGACTTCAACTTAAACTTGTTTCATGAATGCCACAAGAGTCTCAGAAGTCTGTACTAGCCAGTAACAATTCCCAAAGCCTCATAAGCTAGAAAACCTTTCAACATTTGCAGCTACCAACCCCATCTCCCATCCTCGCTCAGCGGAGCGTGCCAGCTTGTGGGCGTGATTCTGGCTTCTCCCTCTGTCTTTACTGTCAGCCCAGTGGCTCATGCTGGCACCTCAGCAATTTCACAGTCGGGCAGGACAAGCTTATTCTGTAAATCCTCCTCTCACTTCCCTGGACGCATCACTTCCTGTCCATCATGGTGCCTGGGAAAAGGCCGAGGAAAGACGATCTGTCATTTGCTGAATAAAATATTAGTGCTGCTGGAAAATGAGGGGCGCTGAGAGACGGTGCAGTGTTAGCTGGCCAGCAGGGAAGCCACCAAGGGCCGGTGTCTCAGCAGGGACCCTTAGCAGCCACAGGGTCGGTGCATTTGTCAGAGCAGATGCAGCCTCGTGCGTTGCAAGCATTACGGTCTGGGGTTAGCGGTATTCATACCACTGCACCTATCTCACGCGGGAAAAACACTGGGATGGCAGGAAGGAAAGATGCACCCGCTACCTCAGCCACGGCTTTCAGCACGGGCTTTGCGAACACGGCCAGTCTACCCAAGGTTCTCCTGGAGGCAGGGGAGGTTCCGAGGAAGTGAGACTGGGTAAGGAAAGGTGCGCACCAAACACCACACCAGTCTAATCTGCTCGCAGCGGTCTGACGAGCACTGTCTCTGCTGTCCTTGTCGGAACTCCAGTTAGTGAACGTGGACCAATGCTGCCTACGCTTCCTGTGATACTGCACTCTCTTTACTTTGCTCCAGACAGGGTCTCAGTAGGTAGTCCTGGTTGGCCTGGAGCTGGTTATCCAGCCCAGGCTGGCCTTGGACTGTTAAAGGCGTGGGCCATCTCGCCCAGCTATTTATTATGTACCAACCCCTTGATCTCTAAAGAAGCAGCCTGTCTTATGTGTACTCTCACACACAGACGGTCCATCGGCTGTAGGAAGCCAGCATCAAGCCAAGCAGGATGTAAGGTCCAGGCCAGCGATTTCACTACACAGACAGACTGGAAAGAAGCACACGGCATGCGTGCACTGAACGACAAAATGCCCTGTTCGTCATAGCCTAAGTTTGAAAACAACTCAAATGGCAACAGTGGAACAAGCTGCGCTATCATCCACAGCGGAGAAATCGTCATTTCTGAGGTTGGCTCCTGTATGCGGCCCAGGCTGGCCTGGGACTCACACTCCGCTGCCTCAGCCTCCTGCGCACTGAGATCATAGGTGCCATCTCATCTCACTTCTTACAGTGAAACCTTAAAGGACAATAGTAACGAGCAGCTCTTAACATGGGTGAATCTCCCATTATCTATACCACTTCCTCCTAACTAATGCCTTCAAGAAACACGTGAAATAGAATGCTGAGCAAAAGGAACCAACAAAACCAGACACTCTGTGATTCTGCTTATAAAAACACAGTGCAAGCAAAACTAATCTACAGATAGAAAAGACAAAGGAAAGGCTCTCTCTGGGGAGGTAGACAGGAAGTAGAGAAGAAGAACAGGACCTCCGAGGGCTGCTGACACCCTACTTCCTAATCAGATGGGAACTCTGCTTAAACGAATGTGTGTTCCTAGGCCATCTCATCAGGCGTGGCTGCAGGCACACTATGTGCTGAGCCAACTTGCCAGACTTCTTTTTCTTTGAGACAGGATCTCATGTGTCTGTGTGGGCCTTAAGCTCACTACGTAGCCAAGGAAGACCTTGGCTCTGTTTCCCAAAATCTTTGAAATAACCACGTGTTAGATGTGTGTTTAGAAATAAACAAAAACTTTCAGAAGTTATCTCCTAATTTAACATGTGACCATTATACAGAAGGAAGCCCAGGAGACTATCTGTTCATGTCCGAGTTTCCCACCACTTTCACCAATGGAAAAACTGAAGACCTAGGTCGCTTGACAAGTCTGTGTTGGGCCAGCCCAGAGAGAAACCTCAGCGCACCTTCTGTTTGGCTTGGTCCACAGCCATTCCTCTTTTCTCCACTGGGATCCTCTGGAGGAGCAGAGCTGCGGAAGGAAAAAGCAGTCGTGAGGTCCTCAGCCTTCTAGTAAAAGGTCACCCTGGATCCACACCAGTAACCCTGGAGGAGAAACCTAGGTTGGCGTGACTGTTTCTGGAGGTGGAGGGGCAGTGGAAGACTGGAACCCGCTCTCATCTCACTGGGGACTCTTGGGACAGAAAACCGGGGTCACTCGGGCAGTCAGAGGCATCCCACAATTGCAGTCACCCCCGCCCCCCATCCTCACAAGCACAGCCTATCCAAACAACAGCACTTCAACACACGGCGGCACGGTCACGGTCACACACCCACCCTGAGGATGCAGGCACACACACGTTCACAGGACCCTTAACTACAAGCCACATAAAGCCACGGGGCCGCAAGAGGCCAGAAAAGCACACGCACTATGCAAGAGTTAGCACTCCCTCTAGTTCTCCTCACGAGAATTAGCACACAAGTTCCACAGGATGCAACAGCCTGACGATAACACGCATCTTCCAGCCACACTCCCCGCATCCCACACCGTTACATAATCCCAACTCAAAGGTCACCAGAGCGTCACACAGTAGGTCCAGTCCACACGGTTTGCACACTCACGCCCCACCCCCGAAGTTAACAGCCATGGAAACGTAATTACCGATTCCCTATCTGATGGATCCCTCATCCACAAGTGCCGCACGCACCGTTACAATACTCGTACACACACCAACAACCAAAACGTGCACGCTCACACACCCAGCTCTGCGCATGTTCACAGGTCAACGACACACCCACCAGGGGAGCCTAACAATCACACCCGCGCACTCCCGGCGCCCTAGGGTCACTTGAGGTCACACTTACACGCAGCCAAAACCTCGCCACCGCTCCCCCAGCTAGAGCAACTCCCACAGAGCTGACGCCTCGGGTACTGGCTGGGACTTCCCTTCGGACCCCGGGGCCGCACCTGGGGAGCCTTAACGAGGGCCTAGGCCGCTCACCGTGCACTTTCCCCTGCCCGGACGAAGAGGGTCCCGCGGGCAGAAGAAGAGGCCGCCCGGACTTCGCGGACGTTTCTGGGAAATGTAGTCCGCGATGGGAACTGGCGGGGAACATGGCGCCCGACCTCGGCTTCCCGCCAGGCCACCGCCCGAGGCGGGCCGGGATGCTGGCCCTGCATGTGGGATTGCGTGCGCGAGTTTCCTAGATACAGACACAAGCTCGGACTGAAACGCTCACGACACGCGGGGCTGACAGCCCGGGCACAAGCCCCCTCCATGGTAGGCTCTGTGTCCTCGGGGAATCGCTGCCTTCTCAGTAAGCGCGAGCCGGAAGTCGTGTGGTGTCGCGTGAGTTTCTGGGAAATGTAGTCTAGAAACGGAAGCTGCGTGGCACTGGCCTCTTGGAACAAAGTTGCTTAAATGATTTCGGAAAGACCACACCCGGTATCTGGACGTTTCTGGGTGAAGGACGAGTTGCCCGTTTTGCCTTTGTTGGTGAGCCATAGTATAGGATTTATATGAATTTAAGTGGCATTAAAAAGAACGAATATTAACTATTTAAAACTAGCAGATTTAGCAAGAATCGTGAACGAGTGGTTGCTCCTGACTAGGTATAGGGTTCCGTTATACCGTTAAAAACTCTCTTTGAATTTCTATTTGTTTGTTTGTTTTGAGTCTGGTTGTGACTCCAAGCTAACCTGTAACTCACTCTGTAGACTGGGTTTACACTGAACTCACAGAGATCTGTCTGTCCCCGTCTCACAAATGCTTGGACTAAAGGCGAGCTTCGCTACACCCCGTCGTGGAAATATTCTTAAATTAGGCGATGGTGGTGTGTGCATTTCAGTGTGAATACACTAAAAAAAACAACTAAATTGTATGCAAATAGAGCTTATACAGGGAATTGAACCCTGGAACTCTTGCCTGTGGTGCAAGCCTTTTCATATCTTCTGGGTTATATTTGTGTTGGATATTGGATATTTTTAAAAGAAAAAAGAGTCCACTGAGGTACAATTTAGATGCATGTATGTGTGTACAATCTGCAGAGGCCAGAAGAGGGCATCAGATGTTCAGGAACTGGAGTTAGAAACGGGGACCAACCATGTGGGGCCGGGAGCTGAACTCAGGTCCTCAGCCCCAAGAATACACTGATATTGGAGTGAACTGTTTGATAATATTGTATCTGTGTCCCTGCTGTATGCGCTAGTTTTCAAAAATCTACCTTATTTGGGGTTCCTAAAACCTCTCCCTCTGGGGCTGGAGAGATGGCTCAGAGGTTAAGAGCACTGGCTGTACTTCCAAAGGTCCTGAGTTCAGTTCCCAGCAATGCATTGTGGCTCACAACCATCTATAATGAGATCTGGTGTCCTCTTCTGGCATTCAGGCAGAATGCTGTAAAAATAATAATAATTAAAAAAAGAAAAGAAAACCTCCACCTCTGTTGCAACCCTCCAGCCACAGGTAGGAGAAAGAAAGTTCGATGGGAATAGGATGTGGCCTTCTTCTCAATGGTCCACCTCCTCCCCCCTCCCCCCCTCCCCCCCCCCCCCCCCCCCCCCCCCC